GCTATGCCAGATTTGAAGATGAATCACTTTTGATTAATTCGGTCAAACGGGTTTGTAAAAAGGTCAGAATTATTCACTCAGTTCGATTCATCCGGATGTTCGCTCATGCACTGAATTGTTTGCAGTAGTTTCTAACACCAAAATAGTAACAGAGCTCTGCGTTTTACCCAAAGTTGAACATTCGTCAACTCTCCGTGCAGAGAAAAAACGCCCGACCGGTGAAAAAGATGCTCAGCGTTCGGCACACCCCTGGCATTTTGAAAACAATGGACCCTTTTCTTAAGACTGTGATGGTGCGTTTAGAAGGAATATAATTGTGAGGATACTACCTTTTCTAGTATTTTGGACAGAAAAGGGAGATTCGAAAAAAACAAGAAAAAAACAAGTTGAAAGCGTACCGAGCCGCGGAAGAGACACTGTTTCTCAAACGCTTTCCGCGAGCGCAATTCGAGAAACACAAGACAAATGCGTTTCATTCATTCGTTCATAACCACTCATACCCCACTCCACCGCCCCCCCGGCGCCGACACAGTTTTCGACAGTCATCAGCATCGTAAATCCTCTAAAGTTGTGAAGTTGCCCTCGAGCTACTTTTCACGTACATGTATGAAAGTCAGTAGACATCACACATGTAATACATCGATACTTACAAAAAAGTCTCATTGAGCAAAATCCGAAATGCAACAGGAAAGCAGTTATTTAGAATTTTTCTCTGCAAATTTTGTGTCGTTTTGTCCTGGCCTGAACACATCTAAAGGCCAATATTCAATTATTAACATCGCGCCACCTGCTGGCAACAGGAAATGACTTGTTTTACACTAACTTAAACATGCAATGTCCGATCTGCCCCAAATTTCACATGTTCGGTAAGAGTCCTGGCCTGAAGACATTTACATGACAATATGCAGTTATAGTCATAGCGCCACCTGTTGGCAAAAGGAAATGTCATGTTTTACACTAACTAAAGCATGCAATGTCCAATCTGCCTTACATTTCTTGTTCGATAAGAGTCCTGGCCTGAAGACATCTAAAGGCCAATATTCAGTTATAATCATAGCGCCACCTGCGGGCAACAGGATATGTCAAGTTTTACACATGCAATGTCCAATCTGCACCAAACTTCACCTGTTTCCCATCAACCATCCGAATCGTCTCTCTCCTCAGCAGCACAGATTCCTCCTTGAGTTCACATG